GTAAATATTAAATTTTTTTTATAAATGAAAATTTTCATAGTAAATTCAAATTGTTAATTTAATTTAAGATCCGTGTTAGATACTGTTACATTCCACAACAAGTAGTTGAAGATGCAGTCCGTGAGTGCAAAGTTTGCATTACCCGGCGGTCCGTTAAGAAAGTTATTCCAATTCGTCCGATTGTTACAGAAGGTTTTTTAAGTAATGTCCAAGTAAGAATTTAAATTTTTTTTTATTTTTATTTAATAATTATAATAAATTATGATATTAAAATAATCTATTTGTAGATTGATACAATTGATATGACGTCGGTACCTGACGGAATTTATCAATACATTTTTCATTTCAGAGATAATTTCTCAAAGTTTTCTTATGCAGAGCCATCAAAATCTAAAACGGCCAAGGAAGCTGCCGTATGCTTATTTAATTTTTGTTTACTATACGGCCCACCTGCCGTACTTCAATCTGATAGCGGTGGTGAGTTCGTTGGAAAGGTAATTCGAGAAACTTCAAAATTATGGCCAAATATTAAAATAGTTCACGGGCGATCCCGAAATCTCCGTAGCCAAGAATCAGCCGAAAAGAGTAATGGTATCCTCCAGTCTAAACTGGAAACCTGGATGGAGGAAACCAGTCGAAGTGATTGGAGTGCCGGTTTGAAGTTCGTTGTTTGTAAGCAATTTATATGTAACATATTAATAGCACGATGCGAACCATCTAAAGACATCAAAAAATGCTACTAATATACGTCATAGATTAATCAAGAGACCTAGTTTCAAAATTTTTTTCAATGTGTTTCCAACTTATGTGACTTCACGGTACAATCATTTCCTGCACCCCACAAAGCCATTCTAAAATTTTATTTTTTAAAAAAAATTGCTACCACTCAACGAATTTTTTAAATTTTGTAAAACATTACTTGGTAGATATTATATAGAACTATAAAGCTAAGTATGATTTTTGCAAAATTGGGAATATTCGTTGAAGAGTAATTTTGGATGCCTTTAGGTAGTTCGCACATATCACATCTAATACTTGCAAAATTTTATTATATTATGCATATAGGATTTTTTACAAATTAAAATTTAACTAATTTATATTTTTTTAGGGGCTATGAATAGTCAATACAGTACCGCGCATAAGTCCATTCCTTATGAATTAGTATTTGGACAACCTCCACATTGTGATACAAATTTAGCTAATTTGTTTGAAAACTATAACTATTTCTATCCACCAACTGAAGAGTCGAGTTCATCAGATAGTCAAGCTCTAGTTTCTGAAACTGATTCTCAATCGACCATTATATCAGAATTGAATCATGATGTGGAAAGTTCTAAAATTAATTCATTTTATTTTGAAGAAACACGGCAGGACAATAGTGATGTGACTAGTAATGCAGATGAAGAAACAAATAGTAATGCGGAACAAGTAAATGGTGCTGCTTATAACAAAGTAGTTAGTAATGCTGATGAAGAAGTAAACAGTGTGAGTATAAATTTTAATAATGTTTATTAATATTTACACTCTATCCTCGCTATAACGGTGTGATCGGTCTTGGAAATTCCATCCGTTATAATAAATATCTGCTATCAAATTATATATTTTAAGAATAATTTTAAAATATTCGCGAGGGTAAAGTGTATTTGTTAAATTAGATTTTTATAATAAATTAACCAATGCTCTAATAACAGGATGTGAGTATAAATTTCAATAATATTTATTAATATTTATTTGTTTAATTATATAATTTTATAACGAATTAATCAATACACTAATCGATTATATAAATTACAGGATGTAAGCATAAAGTTTAATAATATTTGTTTGTTAAATTATAACTTTATAATGAATTAATCAACGCATTAATCGATTACAGAGAGATATAGTTTTCATTAGTGATACAGAAGAAGAAATGTATAGCAATATGGATGAAGACGAAGCGCAAGAAATGAATAACGATATGGCTGAAATGCAAGAAATGAATAACGACATGGATGGAGTGCAAGAAATGAATAACGATATGGATGAAATGCAAGAAATGAATGCACATAATAATTTGTTTCAAGGTTATTTTGAAGCACAAATTACTAGTAACGAAATTATTATTATTGACGATTCTGATTAAAGTTGCTTACCGTAATACGTTTGGGCTGATTTTACTCCGATCAATTATGTGATAATTAAGTTTATAAGTATTATGACATTAATATGATAAAACTTATACGTACATTGCTTTAATAATACGAAAGATAATTTCTAAGACTTTTTACTAATAATATATGATTCTTATATATGAGAAGCAAAATATAATGAATTTATTTAAAAAATACATAGTCTATTTAAAAACATAAGTCCTTAACAAAATGAACGTGAAACACCATTGTCTTTGAAATTGGTTTCATAACGAATAGTTTCACGATGAATATTTCACTTTACACCGATTCTTTCAATTATATTTATTTTATATATTTTTAAAATTTTGTTTTTATGTCTTCTATGTAATTTTTACAGTATATGTAGCGTTATAGTCTATATATTTTGTGAAAATAGAGTTTTGTAGGTACAAAGGTATTATAAAGAAAAAAAATACTAGATAAAATACTAGTATAAAATCATTTAAATGTTAATATTTTTAGGTTAATATCTTTTATTTATTTCTGCCCATTTATTTCTACCCATTTTAGCAAAAATTTATTTAAAAACATCTAAAAATCACATTTACAAGTATTACAAATTACTGGCTCATATATCCCCTATGATTAATATCGAATTGATATTTTAGCCTAAGTTTTGCTTTATAATCAAGTACTAGAGGTTGGAGCAGTGAATATCCATGGATAAAAAATGAATATTCAATTAAAAGCGAATATTCAGATAAATCAACTTTGGAAATAGTCAAGGATTAGATTAATTACACAAAATTTGTAAATATTGTGAATATTCGATGAATATTTGTGAATAATTAAACTCTTTTAATATTCAATTTATTGCACAACGGACATTTAAAGAATCCCCAATTCTACCAAGACCCATATGATGAGTATAAACAAAACAACACAAACAAAACATACAATTAATCACATGAAACAAGAAAAAAATAAAAGATTCTAGAAAAAAGTTCTTACTACAAAACTAGCACAACAGCATATAGAAAAACTATTTAAAGAAATTATGCTATATGAAATGGATATACAGTAGATGCACTAAAAAAAGAACCTTTAAAAAATATGAAATAGCAACCCAAAAAAAGTGTATTCTATATTAGTTATTCTATATACGATATTGTTGTTCACCTTTATATATACTAAACAATAGTGAAAAAATAACACTATTATTTTTCTTACATTGCTGATTACATACTCAAAAACATATGATTACCCATACCTCTTCATAGTAAGCAATCACCATATTAACCAAAAAAATATCCGCATCTAACAAAATACTATAAAGACTATATGGACTGCCGCAAATAGAAATCAAGCAGATTTACATTTGAACACAAATTAATACCTCAAATTTCACAGCTCATATCTCGATGAATTTTAAAGGTATCTTGATGATTTAATATTCAAAAGAAAGCCTACGATCTAAGCTTTCATATGAATATTAATATCTTTAAAATTTATCGAGATATGGGCTGTGAATTTTTTTTTAAAAATGTAGATCTGCTTGATTTCTATTGATGGCAGCCCATATATAAAATCTATAGAAGTTAAAAGCGACAAATTGAACATGTGATCCCATCTGATGTTTGCCCTGTCCCTTCATTGAACATAAGCTTCACATTACAACCTATAACCGCAATTACACCTATTACGGTAATTACAATCTGTTAAGGCCATTATAACTAAAGATGCCTGACGAATGACGAAACTTTCGTCATTGACGAATGACGAAACCATTCGTCAAGCAATTTCTGAATG